CTCCTTGGAGAGAGCAGCTGAGTTCGCATCAGGAAGACCACCTGCAGCAAGCTTCTCCAGGAAATCAGCAGAACACGATTCTCCCCTCCGGGTCTCTTTTTATGCCATTGGCAACAATCTTCAGGTGGGTCTTCCATGCCCAAACCATGCTGACTCCGTTCAGCTGGGTGCACCAGGTTGACCATTAGTTAACCCACCACAGACACCTTCAAGTGAGTCGTGCATCTAGGGCCGCTGTCTTTGTATTTTCATCTGCCTCTGCTGATGGTGGAGCATAGGTCACCGTTAGCACCACACAGCCCAGCGGTGGCGTGGTGGGAGACGCAGGGAGAGACTGGGATTCCACCTCTGTGTGAGAGATGGGTGGTTACTCCAGATGTATGGGCTCTTTGGTACCACCTAGCTATGTCCCCAGCCCTTTGTAAAAATTTTATTAATCTTGAGACAGGCTCTCACTAAATTGCCCAGGCTGGCCTCAAGCTTACGATCCTCCTGCCTCAGCTTCCTGAGTAGCTAGGATTACAGGCATGCAGCACTTTTGGTTTTAGTGGACTGAGTGTGAAACTGAGGGATACCGTTTGAAAAGAAAACGCACTGGTTGGAATAGATGACTGTGGTCACACGGACATCCCGAAACAGGACAACGACTGGTGTCAAAGCCCATAGCATAGAAGACAGCCGTGGATGCAGATTGTCGGAGTAGCATTCACGGGTGCCCTGCTCAACCCAGGACATCTTCAGGGTGTCTGTCAGCAAGCCAGGTTTGTGAAGCAGCTTCCGGGAGGCATGGAAGGCCTCGTCCGCCCTAGGGATGCCTGTCCCAGAGGTGGCCCCAGAGCTCCTGACTGGTCCACCCATTGTGCTGCGCTCTCTCTCTCTCTGTCTCTCTCTTTGTCTCTCTGTCTCTCTCCCTCTCTCTCTGCCTCTCTCTCTGCCTCTCTCTCTCTCTGTCTCTCTCTGTCTCTCTCTGTCTCTGTCTCTCTCTCTGTCTCTCTCCCTCTCCCTCTGTCTCTCTCTCTCTCTGCCTCTCTCTCTGTCTCTCTCTCTGTGTCTCTCTCCCTCTCCCTCTGTCTCTCTCTCTGTATCTCTCTACCTCTCCCTCTGTCTCTCCCTCTTGCTCTCTCTCACTGTTAGTGCTCCCCCCCAGCACTGTGGCCACAGGGGTAGCACTTTTGCTTGTCTCAGTGTGGCTCTTCTGTGACCGCTGGGCCTCCCCAGGGTGTGCAGAATGCTGAAGCGTCTCATCCCAAAGGCCCGCGGTGCCCTGCTGAGGACTGTGAGCGCCACCTTGGACACCACAGCAGCTTGAGGCATCCGCAAGCCCGGCAGGTTGGGTCACAGCGGGCTGGTCCCGTGCGCAGCAGCATGGTGAGGTTCCTTTGGCAGCGTTCAGATGCACAGATGCCAAATGTGAGGGTTCTCGAGTAGGAGGGAAGGTGGCTTTGGGGAGGGCCTGTGACAGAAGCCTGGGGGCTGCTTCAGTGGAGGGGTCCTGCTGCCAGGACGATGGGCTAACGGAGCCCAGAGAAGCCAGGCAGAGGCAACTCAGGGCTCCCCGCCTGTCTCCCCACTACTGCTGGCAGGATTTGGTGTCCCCGCCCTTCTGGCTTCCCAGGGTCACAGTGTCCTGTCCCAACCCCACCTCCTGAGTTGGCTTTCTGAGCCTAAGGGACCTGCAGAGGCACTCTGCGGGAGTCTCAGCCGCTGTCTGGAGTGGGTTCTGGCAGTGGGAGAAGCGCTTAGCAGACTTCCTTCCATGTTGGATTCTCCGTGGGATTTGGCGCCGTGCTTGCCCTGTCCTGGGTTTAGAAGTTGAAATGGCTCCTGGTAAAGTAGCCATCTCCAGACCCACTGGGCATTTTCCAGAGTGGCCCTCATTTGTGCCTGATTCAGAGGTGAAAGGCCAGAGCCCTGGGTGCGGGGCGAATCGCAGCGGGCCAAGGTCAGGCAGGCGCCCCAACCCGGACGTCTGACGTCCTCCCCGGGCCTCACTGGCATGGCCCTGGTTGTGGCCACCGTGGGTGAGAAATGTGTGGGTCCTGGCCGTGGGAGGTCAGCAGTTACCTGCCAGGAAGGGCACAGGGCTGCACCATGCTGATTCTGTCTGTGAAAGGGGTCTGGGGGCATCGGCCATCCCACCCCTGCCGGGGAACTGGGGGAGCTGAACATCCGCCCTTCTGCTTTTCTCGGGGCCCCTAAGTGTCTTTCCCCATCTCGGTAATCACAGTGTTGGGTTTTATGCAGGGTCAGGTTTTAATGAATTGCCGAGTTCTCCACGTCCCCTCCGAGCCCCAAGCAGTGGCGCCAGAGCTGCAGAGTAGATCACGGTGCACTTTGGACTCGGCAGTGCAGTGCTGCATTGGCAGGCCGCCTTCCAGCCCTTCGCCGTCCCCTTGTGAGCAGCAATGTGCCCCTCCGCCAGCTGCTTCTCCTGCAAAGAAGTGCAGGAGGAAATGAGAGGTCGTGCGAAGCTGGCGCCTGGGCCTGCAATTGCAAATAAGAATTAGATCAAGGAAGGCACCAACAACTTTAGCCTCCTTGTTCCTGCAGGCACAGGGTGGAGACTGAGTAGGGCAAACCGTGTCCTGACACTCGATCCCTGTGAGGTTGAGTGTGCAGGTGTAGTTAGCTGATGTGAAGGACTGCTAGATGAGGGTGGGTTTGAACCCAGGGCTTGCCATCGATGTGATCACAGTGATACAGGGATGAGGTGGCGAGGAGCCCAGGGTGCCAGTCATCCAGGGCAGTGGAAGAGGCCAGACGGGACCCCCAGCACCGTCGCAGGAGCACGGCTGGGACTGGGACTTGACTTTGGACTTCTGCCCCAGAACCTGAAAGGATGAACATCGGCCGCTGTTCTGAGCCACCTGGTTCGTGGCATTTTACACTCTGCAGCCGCCCAGCAGCGATCCCGGCCTCCGGGACGTTTCCCTGCCGCTCAGCCCTCCCTCGACCTCTGCCACTCAGTCTGTTTTTACTTTTCAGTGGAAACTCTGAGGTCACTGACTGTGGTTACCCAATCTGGCATGGCTAGGCCTGACCTTTTCTTCTTCTTGTTTTTTTTGATTTTAACTCCTTGTAGACACCCTCCCCCTCTTAACTGAAGAACTGCTCCTGTGCCCGCCAGCTTCCAGACACCTTCGTCCTGGTCCTCTGCTAGGATTTGCTCAGCACGGGCTTCTCGCCCTTTAGTTCGGGTCTTCATTTTTTCTTTGAGTTGCGCATTCCTTTCCTATTGCTGCCTTCACAAATTATCATATGCTTTGTGGCTTAAAATAGCTCAGATTTATTGAGTTAAGACCAGAAGTCCAAAATAGGTCTTTTGTTTTGTTTTGCTTTTTGAGTCAGGATCTTGCTCTGTAGTTGAGGCTGGTCTTGAACTCACTGTGGAGCCCAGGCTGGCCTTTAAGTTCACAGTGATCCCCCTGCCCCAGCCTCCCCTGTGCTGGGGTTACGGGTGTGCACCGCCATGCTTGGCTTCAGCAGGGGACTCAGAAGGGCTCAGATCAAGAACTGCAGCCTCTCCTTTCTGGCTTTAGTGGCTCCTGCGCTCCTTGGCTGGTGACCCTGCGTGGCTCTGACCCCCGCTTTGTCTAGCTCATGTCTCTTGGACCCTCCGCCGCTGCCCTCTGACAGGGTCTCTTGTGACTGCTGGCTCACGGGCACCATCCAGACTCGGAAGCCTCCAGCATAGCCTCGTGTTCCCATGGCCCGAGGTGTGTGAAGTCAGATGTTCCTGGGTGCAGGAGTTAGAGCCCAGTGCGGCCTAACACTGGCTGTCCATGGCCCCCAGGCTGAGTGGTTTTTTCCTTTCTTCCTACTTTCACTTGGGTTTTAGATCATCACCTGGAGGGAGTAGTTCAGTGACTTTTCAGTCAGTGGTTTGGAGGAGAAACTTGAAAAGGGTCCGTAGAAACTTGACTGTATGTTTTCCTAAGTACACTTTTACGTTTCTAAGCATTTAAAGGCAGAAAGCAGCAGGTACATTTGAGCTGGCATCATGTACCAACTTCAGACGCCTGTGTCCGTCTTACTTTCTGCTGCCAAGCGGGCTCATTGTTTTGTGCAGGCCCCACATGAAGCCGATCGCATCATTCTGGTCTAACTGGGGAGGCTGGAGGTTGTAGGCAAGCTGGTAAGCGCTGCAGGGTGCCCAGAGGAATGAGTCAAGGCCTTGGCTTCCTGCATGGCCCAGTACCGTGTGTCTGACGGAGATGGGGTGTGGGGTGCGAGGAGAAGGAAGGGAGGAGCTGCCTCAGCCCGCTCTCCTGACGCAGGTTGGCTGGGGAGTGGAGGCTGCAAAAACAGCTCCTGGAGAACAGCAAGGCCAGGGTGTCACACAGGCATGCAGGTGTGCGCCTCCTGGGCACCGTACGCAGGGCAGAGCAGCCAGGCCTGTGCAGCAGCCCCTGGCTGGCAGGCGCGGCCCAGGCTGCCTGGGGGTGTGACATTGGGAGGGGATGCTGTGACCTCCCAGAACACTTGGGGTCCCTGTGAGGGGTGGGTGGAGGACAGGTGCTGGGGGACAGCTGCCTTTGAATTCACGGCAGTCAGAGCTGCCTGCTGCTGTCCCGGAGGCAGCCCCTGAAGTCCCCATGTCCTGGCCGAGCTGGGTGCCAGAGGGTGTGTGACAGGATACTAGGATGCAGAGGTATCCTGGTGGTGACCATGGGCTGCCCCAGCTCCTCCCTAAGCAGCCCTTCTTGTTCGTTGGCCAGTGTGAGCTGCACAGGACTTGCTGTGTGGAATGCATTGCCCGTATGTGGAGAAACCGACCCCGGCAGATGGGGTCCCTCAGTCCCTCAGAGACAGCGCGGCCTGAGGGTGGGTTCCCTCCTTGCCCTAGAAGGAAGCAGGGACCAAAGATCATAGGAAGAGATGGGTGGCTTTCTTGGGGGCAGGTGTTTTGGGAGCATTGTCTGCATGCGGTGCCCAGCCAGCTCCTGCATCGAACACAGGGAGCCATCAGGGTGCTGGGTTCGAGTCTCATGGAGATGGATGCATTGATCTCTTCAGCACCTAACTCTTCATTCTTGTGGAGTTTCTTGTGTGGATTTGCGTGCTGAATCCTCATTAGAATGGATGAGTCAGTGGCTTGCAGTGAATGGTTTGTAGGGAGAAGGTGGATAATAATAGAAGCACTTTAATTTCCCCTGTTCACTGAGCAAACACCTGTTATTGCCTCATGGTGCAGGGCGTGCTGGGTGGAAAAGGAGGAGCGAGGTTCTGCTGGGAGGCGGGGAGGCTTGGAGCAGGCAGAGCTGCAGACAGCTGAGGAGGACGGGCGAGCGAGTGGGCTGACTGACCTGTATTTGCCCGGCCGTCTGGGAAGGTTGGAAAAGCACCGTTTCCGTCAAGTCTGACAGCAGCCTGCACCGAGGGACATGGAGCCTTGGAGGTTGCGCAATGAGCGGACCAAGGCCACTGGGCAGTTGGGGGAGCCCATGCCTGGGCACAGGGTCCCTGGGACTGCAGAGGGCCTCTGCTGGTGGCTGGCTGTGTGGCTCATTTTGCTCCGATGGCTTGGTTCTGCCACTGCGCAGTGAAAATGGCTGTGGGAGGCAGTGTTCTTGATGGAAGCAGCGCTGGGTCTCTTCCACTGCCCTGTCTCCCTCCACGCTCCTCCCCAGTCCCGGGAAGTTGGGGTCCCCTTGAGGCCTGTGCCTCCCTGTTGCTGACCCACTGGTCGCGCCTGCCCCCGAGGTGAGTGTGATCTCTCCAGGTACTAAAATCAGCATAGAAAGGACCCTCGCCCTTCACGGAGCTAAGAGTCCTCCACCAAGGGCTGGTCAGGAAGGTGTAGTACCTCTATTTGGGTTCCTAAATTGCTCTTTGGATTTCCTTAAGTTCACAGAGTGATATAGGTATTTTCTTTTTCAAAAACTCATCCTGGACTTGGCCAGTGGTGTGAATTACAGACCAAGAACGCTGTACATGGCAGGATTGGCTGAGACTTAGCGGTGGGCTGTGAACACAGTGGGGTCTTTGTCGCACAGTACGCTGGGGGACGGTGACACCCGCGGAGACCTTACAGGCTTGCAGCAGAGAAGGGTCCCGCATGGCCTGCACTCTCTTTCTCTGGAATTAGAACCGGCTCCCAGGGTTATCAGCAGTTTGCATTTCCTACTGCTCTCCGTGCTTATGCTTAATTATTTGCTGTTCTGTTGAAACAGCCGTGTTTTCTTGACCTTGAACACATTGCTGCTGTGTTTTCCAGTGCTCCTTCCTCCCCTTGGTTCCCCTGTGGCCAGGAGGCCCTGTGGGGTGGGAAACATGTGGCCCCTCGCCCTGGCTGCTTTCTGAATTTCAGTGCAGTGGCCCCTGGCTCTTCTGGGCACACGGGCCATGCCCACACCAGGGCCTGCGCTCTTCAGGAGGCTGTGTCTTTGTCAGAACATCTCGCAGAGTGAAGATGACGGGAGGAAGCGGCGGCCAGTGCTGGTCACTGCAGCTCCAGGGAGGAGGGCATGGTGGGTATCGTCAGAGAGGAGGCAGGAGGAGAGAGCTGGAACGATCAGGAAATATCATTGTCATGTGTTGTTCTTAATCCCATATACAGTGATAAGAATTAATCTACGGTGGGCCCTCGAGTTGCAACTGGCCTGACATCCGAACAGCTTGGGTTATGACCTGAATTTTAGTTTTAACTTATAAACAAAGTCTTGAGTTATGACCTGAATGCCGGCCGCTTGTGCTTCCAGATGGTCTCAGATACAGATCTAACACTTACAGAGTTCTGGACGGAACATGACAGTGTCCTCTCCTGCGTGGGGTTCACTGAGAAATCCTGGGCCAGGGTCTGTCTAAGGACGCTGAGATCTGCCCGTGTACAGGAGAGAGACTCTGAGGGCTGTAGAGGAGCCTGAGCCCTCACTGACCAACTTGAGTTACAGACAGCTAGTTGAGTTCTCAAGTCAAGGGTCCACTGTACTCAACAGTGGGATTAAGAAGGAAGCAACATGCCCCTTGTCATGGGTCTAGAACCCAGCAGCCCAGTGTGGGGAGACAGGTCTGGCTTCCACGTTGGTGGCCACGACCCCTCTTGCGGTGCCGGCCTCCTGGAAGAGCGCAGGTGTGCATGTGCCGCTCGGTGTGTCGGGCCTCCGCCCGAGTCGGGGCTGGTGGGATGGGGCTGCTGCCGCCTGCTCAGGTTCCAGACCAGAGATGCTTGCATGGTCTTTAAGATGCTGCCCCCTGCTGGTGATGTGAAAGACTCCACTGCTGCACCGTCTGTTCTTAGGAGCAGTAGGCATTCAGGGTGTTTTTAAACGATATTTAAATGTTATTGTTAAAAATGAAGAAGAAAATAAGAACCAGAGGTGGTCTCTCTCCCTGTATTTTTCCTTTCTTCCCAGGGAAACAAGAGTAAGTTTGTGGTGTCCCGGTGCTGTACTTTTAAATGATGATTTTTCCTGACTGCTGCTTGCTAGCTTCTGCCCTTCCTTCAGCTGAGGTGCAGAGCCAGGCACCGTGCTTGGTGTTTCCTGAGATGTAGTAGTTTTTGTCTTTTAAAGAGAAATCGAGGCTATTTAAGTGATAAAACTCTGCTTATAAGAGCATGAAAACATTTTGTAAAGAAAGTTTAATCTCACCTTCTCCAGATGTGGGAGCTACAGTTGGGAGCTGGGTAAACGCTGGGGTGGAGCCGGGACCAGCAGATGGGGTGACCCTGGGGGGCAGGTGTGGCCCCAGGGACCCATTTTAGGCCCACAAGCTTGCTCTGCTTTCACTGGGAAGGGAGTGGGGAGGACCTGTCAGCCAGCCGGCATGATTTATGATGCCCAGAAATAACTGCTTAGCTCATCCTTGCTTGGAGCTGGTATTAGAAAATCAGGTCTCACTGGGCAGGCCCCCCAGGGCCGGGATGGTGAAGTTAGCCCACCACACCCCTGTCCAGGACTCCCAGAAGTCCATTCTCATCACTGAAGTCTAGATGTTGCCTTTGCACACAGGCTCACTGTTGTTTCAGTGTGTCCGCGAATGTACGTTGTTTTGATTCTGATAAGTGTGGCATGTTAAATTGGGAAGGCTGAGGCAGGAGGACTGTGAGTTCAAGACCAACCTGGACTACATAACAAGACCCTGTCTCAAAGCAGTGGTACCGATCGTAACTAAGTAAAGTAACGCTGTTTAGCCCTGTCAGTGCCAGTTTTAAATTCGCAGCCCGGACTTCCCGGGGACTCATTCTCAACAGCCGCCAGTAGATGGAGGGAGTGAGACGCATAGACAGAGGGACCTGTCCTTCTGCCGGGCTGGCTCCCACCCGTGCCCATGTGTACGCATGCCCGGAGCCAGGGCGCTTATAGCTGGTGACTGGTGTGCGGTCAGCACACACCAGCTGTCGACAGCAGTATGAAGTGGCACAGGCTACGTACAAAAGTTTTAGTCCTCTTTGAAAACTAAGGTTAATTTCTACATTTGCTTGCTTTGCTAAGAATTATTTAAGAATAAATCAGCATCACCTAGGGTAGGATTTAGAAATATGATGGAGAACCACAGGTTGGGGTGTTTTCTTTTAGAAGAGGCAGTTGTATGTTGCTTTGCGCAGCTGCACAGGTGAAACTAGCATTTCTTGAGCTCTTGCAGTCATGATCTTGGAAGTGGTGGTGTGATTCTCAGTGCCACAGCACCCTGCCTTGACCCCAGGGGAGCCATGGTGCTGTCCTTCCCACATCCCAGGATGGTCGAGGTCCAGAGCTCCGTCTCCAGCTATGAGGCATGGCCAGGCTGCTCGAGAAGCAGGCATTCTGGTCCCTGGTTCCCAGGGCCTGCTGCTCACTTAGGGATGTGCTACACACAGCTCCATCTCACTGCCTGGTACTCCCAAGGATGACTCAGCTCTGGCTTCAGATTGGCTGGATTAAGGGTCCTGGGCCGGAAAGCAGGTGCTCTGTTAGAACTGTGACAGCGATGTGTTTGCTGAACCTTGGTCCCCTGTGCAGGTGTGGGGCCCCTGCCCCATGAGACTGGAGCATGTGGCCATCCTAGGTCCACACCACCTGCTGTGGTTTATACCTTGCTGCCCCCCAAGCCTCCTGCGCTCATCGGTGGGCTTTGGGGGTGCTGGGATCCCGGGCTGTGAGTCTCAGTGCAGATGAGTGCGCCGCTGAGTTTGGAGCTGATCTGGGCGGAAGTGGCAGTTCCAGGGCCAGGGTCTGGCAGGGTCTGTCTCTGTCTGCTCGTCCTCCGCTCTCTGCTTCTCCTCTGCCGGGCCCCTCTGCCACGCCACCCTGCCTCGGAGCCAGCGACTACAGCAGGAGCCCCTACCCACGGAGCCAAAGGAAACCTCTCCTCTGCCTGGACTTGCTGTCATCCTAGACAGTGGCCACCTCTGTTGGACTCAGGGTGAAGTCTTTTTGTTCCTAATGATAATAACATTTAAAGATTTTAACAAAGCTGCAAACACATGTCCCGGGTCACTTGGCCCTGAAGGTTGCCATGCGCCAGCCTGCTGGCCGCCTTTGGAGTGGGATGCCTACCGGGCAGTACTGGTCAGATCTGGCTTTCTGTGCATCCCCCACAAACAAGGCCCCCCAGAAAGATCGGGTGCTGGGAGCTTGGGTGTGGTGATCACACAGCTTGCATCTGAGCTGAAAGAACCAGGAGAAGGAGAAGCCCTGGCCGATGACCCAGGGGTGAGATAGCTGGGGAGGTGTCACCGTGTCGTCTGATAGGACCTTGGGAGGAGGTCCCTGTGGAGCTTGAGGATAAGGGGCTTTTCCTGAGAGGAAGCAGGGGTGATGTTGCAGGCGGGGGGCGGACAGGAGAGACACTGCAGTCCTCTCATGCCCCTGGACAGCACGGCCTCACTTGGCTGTGTCTCATTTATGGGCAGAGGTCCGCTTGCTATGCGTCCAGGCTCGTTATCCTGTTTAGAAAGGACCAGAAAGAAGAATCCTTCACCCATCTCAGTGTTCAGGGCTTCGGACAGTTCAGCTGCTTTGAGGGCTGTGCTGGGCTGAAAGAGGGGGCGAGCCTCCCCTTCTTGGAGGTTTCCTGAAGGGCGATACTCAGAGGTGCTTGAGGTCTTCCTGCAGCAGGTGAAGGCGCATTTACCCCTGTCCTTCGGGTGCTGGTGCACGTCGGTCTGAATCGCCTGTGTGTGACAGCTGATGCCTTCTCCGTATGCCTGGAGCCCCTACAGAGCCCTGTTTCCAGCCAGCGGAATGCCCGGGTGGGGTTCTTCCTTCCTGCACCCGTGGACCCCCTCCGTGGGAGTGGTCTGTGCCTTTTTCCTGGTGCCCCTTTCAGGTGAGGGGACAGAGACATGGGCACTGTGGGGCGAGCTGCCACGGGCCTAGGAGCCAGTGTCTGCCTGACTTCAGCTGGATGTGGAGGGTGGGGTGTGCGCTAAGGAGAATGACCCCAAAGTTGTTGCCATGACCCAAAGGTAACTTC